TTGCTGTGCTGCTGCTGAGCCCGTGACGCTGGGCAGCTTAACTCGCCAGCGGACAGGAGTTTATAGTGCAACGCGTCCGGTGAGCTCTGCTATCAGGGTTAAAGGACAGGTGCTGAGGGAGGAGGTGGAAGAACCCTGGCTTTCAAGAATTTTGCACTAGATTAAAAACATGAAAGTCAGAGCCGGGTGTGGTGACACACACCTGAAATCCTAGCACTCAGGAGGCGAAGGGAAGAGCATTACTGCGAGTTCAAGGCCAGCCTGGGCTGCGTAGTAAGTTCAAGGCCAGCATGAACTACACAGGCCAGACTCTGTCTCAAAAAACAAAACAAAAGCAGCAACAAAAACATTGAGTTGAATTACACATTTCATCATTTCCCAGCAAATGATTCCTGTAAATCGTTACCCATGTCACTGGGGTAAAGGTCCCATTTCTGGGATTGCTCCCAGCACAGGGTCAGGAAGCCGGCAACCCCAGCAGGCCCTGTTCTCACGGCTCACACAAGGTAGTTGGTGAACGCGTACCCTGGTTGACCAGAAGGTGCTGAGAGCGGCTAAGGCAGCGGGCAGGAAAGCAGGCGGCTCTGCACCTGCACAGAGCTAGGCTGACCCCTGACCTCATGCCAGTGCCACTCCCAAGACCCCTGACCTCATGCCAGTGCCACTCCCAAGACTGAGCGGGGGGGCCGCAGGAGTCTTCCTGGGTGCGACGCGGGTGGTAACCTTTAATATTAGAAAATACGTGGATCTCAAAGAAGAGAAGGAGGGGCGTGGTGTGCACACCTGTCATCCCAGCACTCTGGGACCCTGGGGCAGGAGGGTGGCACACGGCACAGCCTGGGCAACTGAGGACAGTGAGACTCTGTCTCTAAAATAATAAACTGTGGATCCAGCTCAGTGCAAAGGCCTTGGGTTCAATCCCTAGTACTTCAGAAGAGGAAGAAGGCAGGAGGAGAAGAGGTAGACAAGGGAGAGGAGGGGCAAGAAAAGGAAGAAGGAGGGAGGGAGAGGAGAGGGAGGAAGAGAAGGAAGGGAAGGGGAAAAGAAGGAAACTTCAGAAAGCTAGAAGTCGCTTCTGCCAGAGGCTGTGGACAGGCCTGGCCAGGTCAGCTGTGCAGCCTCCCCGCACACCCAGCCCCTGAGCGCCGGCCTAGTGGGTCTGCAGTATGCGCCTGGCCCCATTAAGCTGCACCCCGGCCTCTCCAGGAAAGGCCGGTCGCACCTGCTCCCCTTCCAGTGACGACACCTCGCAGTCTCCGGGCATCGCTAGCCGTCCCCCACGGGGCACAGTCGTCCCGTTTGTGCCTCACCGCACTCCCTGGACTCAGCAGCTGTCCAGGACGGGGCCAGGAATCTTGGAGGCAGCGTGCACTGAACAAAACACCTTCAGAGTGCTGAGACAGGAGGGTCACTGTGAGTCCGAGGCCAACCTGGGCTGCATAGTAAGTTCAAGGCCAGCTTGAGCTACATAGCAAGACCCTGTCTCAAAAACAAAAAACAAAAAAACAAAAAAACAAAAAGAAAAGTTGTTTGAGAAAGGACTGCTAGAGACACTAACTTTGGGCCCACATCTTCTTCACCAATCATGGTCAGCCTGTGCTGGGCCTAGATGTCCACATAGCTCGGCAACACTGTTTAGCACGGGAAGGGCTCCCTCAGCTGACAGCAAGGTCCCCTCCGGGGTGTCACCCAGCCCGGTACTCGGTGTCCCTGTGTGTAAAGGAAGGGAGCCCAGTGGGCTTGCTCCGAAGAAGACCGCCTCGGCTTCTCTGCCAGGGACTCCGCTGGAAAACGCAAGATGGGGCTGAGAGATTCCATCCCGAGCCCCAGCACCGGCGGAGGTGCCGACCTGGCCACCTGCATCACAGACAGCACAGTGGGGGTGCGGGGGGCAGCCTGGACCCCCGAGCTGGGTGTCACTGAGGGTGACAGAACACGGTGCTGAGGACGCAGGCTGGTTCACTTCCCACTGGGGGTGACTCAGACCCGGCTACAGAACAACCCGGAAGTGGGAGTGAGAAGCCACAGTGGGGAACAGCCCCCCAGGGTCACAAAGATGGATGACGGGGGTCCAGCCCAGGCCCACTGCAGAAGCCCCAGTCCAGCAGACACGTGCCAGCCACGGCGACCTCCTCACACTGAAGGGTGAAGTGGCACAAAGCACCCGGGGCCCTGCTGTGACCTGCACAGGCGCAAGCGTGGCCTCACAGGCTGCCGCGTTGCAAGTTGGCTTGGGGGGCAGGGCTGCAGGGGGTAACGGGGCCACCGGGAGAGGGGTTAGCGCAGGTCTCAGACCCCCGGTTATCCCCTCAGGAGTGCGCTGTCGGGAAAGCGCCCTCCTACCTGCCGGTCTCTGCATGCGACCCCTCTCCCACGCCCTCCTGCCGCCACCCCACCTGCCACGTTACACAGGGATCCAACAGGGGGCCTCTGAGTCCTGGACTCTCTGCCTCCAAAACCGAGCTAAATAAACTCTCCTCTTTATATACAGCAACACTCAGCTCACAAACATATTGCCCATGATTCTGGTCCTGAATCAGACTTCCCCATAGGGTCAGCCTTGAACCTAACCATCGAATCTGATTCGGTTCTCATCCAGCTTGGTTTGCAACTAGAACCGTGGAAAGAATGAAGTTCTTCAACGAGGCACCCCTGTATTTCTCAGCATCGGGTATTCTGTGATCGCGGTACAAAGCAGACTGCTCCAGGCTCTGTGCATTCCTCCACGCCCTCCTGGCTTCTCAATACTATCTTCAGACGCTTTTCCTATCAGTAAACAGTTTTCATGTTGGCGTCTCAAAAGCATATGCAGCATTTAACCATGGAGAGACCAGCATACCCAGTACCGGCGGTGAGGAAGGCCAAGGAAGGCGGGGAAGGAGACTGCTCTGACCTGTGGCATTCGGGAAAAGTAACCCTGCACCTCAGAGCCGCGGTTCAGCCTACACTGCGCAGAGGGGGGCCAGGCCCCAGAGAGGACCAGGGGGCGGCAATAAAGCCCCCTTCTGCCTACAAGACCTGCGCATCAGTGAGTGGCGACCCTCACCTCCAGGCTGTGGTCATCACCAGGCCAGCGTGGATTTCAATCTTCCTGTCTCTTCTCCCCACGATGGGAATACACGGCGCACAGCCGCGGTGCAGGTGCCGTGATTTTTTTTCACTGTCAGTTAATAGGTTTGCCTTTCCTTTCTTAAAAATTGGTTCACATCTCAGAAGAGCGGCAGAAGCGCAGCATGGGCCAGGATGGAGGCCGAGCGGAAGGCAGCTGAGGAGGACTCCCCGGAGACTCAGCTCCAGGCCCGCACCTGCCTTCCACCCCCAACGGGGACTCGCAGAATGCCTTCTTTGGGATCGGTTCCCCACGGAAACACTGAAGGCGACACCCCGATAAATGCGATCGCTCTGCACCTGTCACGGTCGGGTCCCCGGCAGCTGAGGGAGTAAGCTCTTCCATGCGTTTGGACTTCTAAGAGAGGGCTCAGCCGCGTGTCCCGGCCGTGGGCAGTGTTGTGTGCGTGTAGGTCTCAGGGTCAGTGTCCGCCGTCACGAAAGGGATGCCTGTCCTCGTGAAAATCCCCGCACGCCAGCGAGGAGACTTCCGGGGAAACGGACCTCACACGGCGGCTCCTCCCAGGCCTGCTGCCTGCCCCCCACCCCGTGAGGTCCCCATCCTGCCCCGAGACACGTCCTGCGCCAGCTTGCCGCCCAGGCTGCAAATCCGCGGGCTCACCTGATCGCCGGCCTCCTCCACCGTCTCCCCACTCACGCGCACGTCACACAGTCACTTTATTATCCTCGCCAACCCAGCCCCGGCCGCCTCCCTAACCCACCGTTTCTCTCGCACTGACGCTTGCGCCCTCCCAGCCTGCAGCTCCAAGTCCTTCCGCCCGTCGCCACCCGCAGCCTCCCGCGGGAGCCGCAGGCAGCTGTGAGTCTGGCTCCCTCCGGGCTCGCGGTTTTTTCTCTGCCGCGTCCAACAAACCAACAGACAGCTTTTCTGAGTAGCTGCAGACCCGGGCGGTTCTCGGCACCCCCGGAGGGCTCAGCCTCCTCACCGGCCCTGAAGAGCTCCGGGCCTCCCCTCCTGCCTCAGCTGTCCCCCAGTCTGGCCCCTCCTGCGGCCCACGCCTGTGCCAGCTCCTCGCCGGCAGCCTGCCCTCCACACCCGCTGTCTCTTCAGTTCAGCCCAGCGTTAGGCAGCCCCGGCCGCACAGTGCCGCGGTACCTACTCCCGCCGTCGGGAGCCGCCTCCTTTCGCCTGGTGTTTGCTCTAAGATGCACCTTCGCCTGCAGGGCTCCCACCTTTCCCGTTGGCTGAACCCCCGCCTCTCACCGCAGGCACTGTCCTCCGCCTGCATTTGCTGAGATGCGGGCGCTAAAAGGGCAGGGGCCGGCTCCTCGCTCCCCCAGACCCGGGCTGGGCTGGGCACACGGAGGCCGGCGAGGACCCCGACGTTGCACGGAGCCGGCGGGCAGGCCTGCCCGCAGCGGTGTGGAAAATCACCCAGTAGGCGCGCGCTGAAGCGCTAAGACCGCTCCTAGCACAAGCGCAGAGACAGCCCTGCTTCGGGAAGTGCGGGCTAAATGCTCAGCTCGAAATTTTAAAACAAAACGAAATCCTTTTCCCACGGCAAGTTCTTCCGGCACAGAAACGTGCGCTGTATTCACCCAGAACAACAGCCAGTGTGACGGCCAGGTCGGCATCACCGGGCAGGCAGACAGCGCCCGCTCTCCGGAACCACCGCGCCGGCTCCCGCGGGACGGGAGGCCCACGCGGCTGCCTCCGCCAGGGAAGCTGCCCGGCAGCCTCGGTCAGGGCCTCGGACCCCACTGCCCGTGAACCCGGCGTGCGTCCCAACGATCGCTCAGGGCAGCCGGGGCTTGGTGGGGAGTTTGCGAGGCCGGCGGGCCCGCCCCTTGGTCCGGCTGCACAACGCCTCCTGCCAGCCCCCGGCTGCCGGGCTCGGGGCCCTGCGGAAGCCCGGACAGGGCGCACTTACCCGCGCGCGGTAGCTCAGGCCGGTTCCCAACAGGTGCTGCTGCGGGCACGGCTGCTCCGGCCTGCGGCCGGGGGTCGGCTCGGCGGGCCCAGGCAGCGGGCAG